TGAAACAGCACAGTCCATGGCATGTAGGAAGTATGTAATACGTGTTTGCTGTCATAGTGCTCTTTTCCTCATCTTGTTGGACACCCCTGATGTCACAGTCCCTCAGAGCTGCCCCTTCGTGCCAGCCAGCCTGGCAGGCTGTGCCTCAGCCCCCACTGCCTGTCTTCCTCCTCTCTTTGCTAGGGTCCCACCACAGTGGGGGTTCAGGTTGGTGCTTCACCTGGCTCTCTTGCCCCAGCTCCTGTTCTCGCACCCTCCGCCAACCCCCTCCAGAGGGCACGAGCTCCCTGGGAGGGCCACTGAGACCCCAGGGCGTCCAGGCTGGCAGGGCCTGGGGAGTGACCCTAGGGAGGGTGCTGGGCTGCTTCCCTGTCTTCTCTCGGCCGGCACAGCCTTGCCCCAGAGGCTCACGCTCTTTCTACTTGGGTCCAGGATTGCAAACTGTCCCTGGGAGAGTTGCTTTAGGGGCAGTTGCAAAGACTCCCAGAGACCGTACGACAGTCTAAGTCCTGTCACTGCGGCAAGGCGCTGGCTTAAAGAATTGCCAGGAAAATAATAGAGAGTTTTAACATGAGCTGCCCAGGAAGAAAGGAATAATAAGAGGAGTTGTATCCAACACCTTCTCAAACCCAGAGCCGGGCGGGGATTGCCACCTCTTCCCTGCGCCTGGCCGTGCGGAGCTCGTCCTTATTATGTCACAGAGGAAGAAGCTGAGGTTCAGAAAGGCTGAGCGATGTGCTCAAGGTCGCTCAGTTATAAGGAATAGAGTTTGGGCTCCAGATGACGGCTTGTCCCACGGCCCTTCTCCTTGTGGAGAGTTGACAGTGGGCACTGGGCATGGCCAAGGTGGTGAATCCAGATCTGCCCCTGGGGCAGCCGTCAGTACACCCACTCTGACTTCCAGACTGGACACTGCCAGTCTCCTCCTGGGCTCGGAGGCCCGGACCACCCCTCGAGGCCTGGCTGAGCTGCAGGGGGGCTCTGAGGAGGCGAGGGTCTTTCCCCAGTGGTAGGTAGGCTAGACAGTCCTCTCAGGTGAAATGTTAATTAACTAGTCATTTGTCCACTGCAGACAGAAAAATGCCCAATCGAGGCCAGAAGTGATTTGCACCTTACTTCTCTTAGTGGAGGTACCCCTGGCCTGCACCCCTCACACTCAGCTGTGACAATCACATGCATCTCCACACATCACCGAATGCCCCCTGTGGGGGAAAGTGGGATAAAGGCAGCTGAACATTTACTGAGCCTCTACTCCGCACGTATGTGCTCTGTTCACCAACTAGGGACAAGATGATGAAGACCATTTTCACCTCCAGGGCTGCGCTGTCCGCAATGGTGGTCACTGGGCCACACGTGCTCACTGAGCACTTGAAATGTGGCGGGTGTGTCTGGGCACCTGAACGTCAACCTTTATTTCAACTAATTTAAATTTAAAAACTAAAACAGTGTAAATTACGTTCGCTCATTAAACACAGTTTTTACCTTTTTTGAATTATATTTCATTTTAACCCTTGAAAACGTAACATCTGAATTGAGAAGTGCTCTAAGTGTAAAATTACACACCAGATTTCAAAGGCATAGCACAAAAAAGAATGCAAAAATCTTTCATCAGTAGATTTTTAAATTTTGATTACATATTAAAATAATATTTCGAGTAGACCAGATGATCTCTGACTCACATTGGTTTGACTTACAATGGTTCCACTTATGATTTCGATTTTATGATGGGGTGAAGGCGATATGCATTCGGTAGAAACTGTATTTTGAGTACCCACACAACCATTCTGTTTTTCACTTTCAATACAGTATTCAACCAATTACATGCATTATTATAAAATAGGCTTTGTGTTAGATGATTTCGCCCAACTGTAGGTTAATGTATAAGTGTTTTGAGTATGTTTAGGGTAGGTTAGGCTAAGATGCTCAGTAAGGTTAGGCGTGTGAAATACATTTTTGAGATGTTATTTTCACCTTACCATGGGTTTATTGGGATGTAATGCCACCGTAAGAAAAGGAGCATCTGTATTTTAATAAATTATTAAAATTAATTTCACCTGTTTCTTTTTACTTTTTAATGTGACTCTTAAAAAATTTAACATTGCATACACAGTTCAAATTCTATTTCTACTGAGCAGAGCAACTCTGGAGGTTTTTTAATGGAGGATGATTTTATCCCCAGGGGGCATTTGAGAATGTCTGGAGATATATTTGGTTGCTGCAATTGGAGCTGACATGCATCTGGAATCTAGGGAGTAGAGGACAGAGTGCTGCTAAACATCAGGACAGCTCCCCCACGACAAGGAATGATTCCGGCCCCAGATGCTAACAGCACTGAGGTTGGGAAACCTCACTCCGGAGCATGGATTCCTTGAAGGACAAGGCCCATACATCATGGGGACCTGAAGAACTGGTTGGAATTAGCTGGGCAAAGCAATTAAAGCTGTTATCGTACTTAATTCTCATGATTAACTATGACCAGGGGTATTATCATCCCAGCTTCTCCAGATGAAGATAATAAGGTACCAAGAAAAGAAATAACCGGCCAGGGATCACCAGGCCAGAAAGAGGCTGAGCTTAGAGCTGAACTCAGCCTAACTCGCCCCGAACGCCAGCCTGTCCCTGCTGCATGACGCGGGTCCGCAGCGCTCTGCGTCGGTGCTGATGTGAAAACAGGCTGCCTGTGCCTAGTCTAATATCCCCGTCACTCAGACCCGGGCAGTTATTATTTACATCAGCCACGACTGCTCCCAGGGGAGGAGCATTAACAGACACGCCCGTTGAAAGGGACAGCCTGCTCAGAGAGAAACTCTCACAGGTGCCTCACCCGTCAGAGGAGGCTGAGAGACGTGCGGAAATAAAACGGAACGCGATGAAATAAACCTGCCAGAGGAGGAACATTCGGACGCCCCGGAAGGCGGGAGGCAAGAACAAATGCACCTGATGTGGGATCGGCTCTGTTTAAAGAAAACATTATCTGACTGCGCGAATGGAATAGAGCCAGAGAACGATGGCCCGGCAGAAACGGAGCGGCTCGCCCACACTCGGACAAGCATTGCTTCTCCGTACATTAGGGGCAGGCACGGCGGCGAGGGTCGCTGTCCTCTGGCTGTCCATCTGCAGCTCCCGCCTCCCCCGGGGAAGGGTGAGGCCGGTGGGCCCGTGATTGTGTCAGGGTAGGGACTGGCATTGGGTGAAGACCCACTATGTGCTGCTACTACACAGGACACTCTCTACGGCTATCTATTAAATAATTTAAATAAAAGATTAAATAGTTTAATCCTTAATAGACGGTACTCAGTGTGATAAATAGTTTTGCAGGTAAAATACGGCTGTGCAACTTGCTGAAGGTCGTATAACCAGGGAGTGGCTGAGATGAAATTCCGGAGGTGCCGGCACTGACACACTGTATTAAGGTGGTACGGGGCAGCACAAGGGCGGGGATGAAATTGGGCCATAGTGGATGCCATTGAGGTTCTGCCCAGATCTCCTTTACTGGGCTGGGGCGTCTACTCTCCAGATGCAGTGGGGTGGGTGGCGAACGGCTCACAGATGCCTCCTTCCTTGGAGAAGTGCCATCAAGCAAAGGGAACCATGTTCCCAGGAGGTCATACACCCCGATGGCAGCTCCCAGCACATGGCTGACCAGATACCATGGTGTAAATGCCCCACTGCCCCAGGGGGACCAACTCTGCGGTACACCTCATACTCCAGACTTCCCCTGTTCCTCTGGGCTCCAGCTGATGCAGGTGTGCACATCTTCCCTTAGCTTTGCCCCCTGCCCCACTCCATCCTCCTCCCTTTCTTTCTCCTGAGAACACTCCTCAATGAGTAATCTGCACAAAAGTCAAGTCTCAGGCTCAGTGTCCAGGGAACCCCGGCCTGAGACACCCACTCATTCACTAGCAGTGATGTTCCTGAGTTTGGGAAGGGCGATGGACAGGAGTGGAGGGAGGTATGGACGGCCAGACACACATCCTTACTGCCCACTGCACCCTCTTCCCCACCAGGACAAACTGACCAGTCAGGGATTGGTAGAGAGGAGGCCATTGCCTGGGCAAGGGCTTTGAGAGAGGTGACAGGGAAAGGTTTGAAATCTCCTAGAAACTTCCAATGGACAAGAAAGGGGCCCCTGCAGAAAAGAGATCTCTAGGTTAGCAGATTGTCTTTTGTCTCTTGGGCCCCACGATGGGCACCAGCCTCTGACATAGGCGGGCTGGGCATCCTTTGAAGAATGGCTCATGGTTGTGTGAAATGAGCTGTACCCATGATGTCCTTGAGGAAAGGGGCTGGTGTTTCCTTCAAACAAAGCCTTCTCTAGACTGTGCACACCCATGGCAGCTCATTTGACACTAAGCATCCTGTCCAGTCTAGAGCACACCAGCATGGAAGGCTCCCTGCGTGGCATCTACAATGCAAATGGTGCCCCCGAGAGGTAGGTATTGTGATCCCTACCTAACAGATAGGAAAAGTGGGGCTGATCATGCATCATGGAACTTTTGTCAGGACAAAGGGAAGACCTGAGATCATAAGCAGAACTCATATTCAAAACACGGACTCCTTAGGTCAACTTTTCCCCAACCTCAGACCACCGCTCAGTTGTCACTTCCCCTGAGAAGCACTCCCTTGGCTCCGGGTGTATTTATTTTGGACACTGCCCACCTCTCCTTTGTGGCACTACTCCCAGTTGCACACTTATTCATGTAGTTTTTTAGCCAGTGGCATAGGAACGTGTCTTCTTTTGCTTATCAGTGTAACCCTCCGTTTCTAGAACAGTGCCTGGCACATAGTAGGTACTTAGTAAGCATTAGCAGAAGGGATGGATGGTGGAGTGGATACAGGGGTGGGTGGACGGGTGAATGGATGGGTGGGTGGGTGAGTGGGTGGATGGGGGCTGAGGTGGAGGCACTGCCAGTTTCTCCCTGGTGCACCTGCCTGGAGGACCCATGGAGTGTGGGCCACTCTCACTCCCCTCCCCGCCCGCCCAGGGCTCTGGTGGTCACCTGTGGTGAGGAGGCAGAGTGGAGTCCCCGGGGTCACCTGGGCGCTGCCCATTGGTGCTGACCACAAGGAAGCCAGTCCCCAGGCAGCATGCAGAAGAGAAGGAGAGAAAGAAACACACATGAAAACGAGCGGCACGGTGAACAAAACTGCAATTCTTGTGGCTCTGAAGAGCTCACGCTAAACAGCAAAAGAACATCATGACTTAACAAAACAGGGCCTGAAATAGAGTCTTAAAAATGAAACAAGAGGAAGAGCCACCATTTATCAAGCACCCACAACATGCCAGGTACTTTTCCAGGTGCCTTACATACAATGTTTCCGAGACTTAGAAGAACTCAGAAAGGTCAGTTATTTTTATAAACAAATCTGTCATTTTTCTACCCAAACTTCTTTTCCCGAGTCTTCTCTTTCTTTGTAGATGGTGCCACCACCCGTGTAGCTTCTCAGTGGAGAAACCTGGGGGAGACCATTTATCCTTCCTTTTTTAATGACTTCCCCCTCACAATCAATCACCAGGCCTTATTAACTGTACCCCAGAAAAGCTCTTGGAGGTGCCCCTTTTTCTTTAATTTCATTCCCACTTAGTTCAAGCCCCCCTGTGTTACACGTGGGTTATTTACGTAGCCTCTTCTGGCCTCCCTGCCTCTGGCCTCACCCCTCTCAATCTGCTCTCTGCCCTTCACTGAAATCATCAGGGACCCTCACTGTTCCCACAATAAACACCACTCCCCCCCTCCACTCAGACCTGAGTACAGACCCCTTCACAATGAACTCCCTGCCTGCCCTCTGGCCTCATCTCTCTCCATTGCCCCCTCTGGTTTTCCTCTTGTTTAACAATGGAAATGATAAACAGCATCCCATTATCGACAGCCCTGCACCTTCTAGTCTATAAGCCTCACCCAGGTGAAGCACTTTGCATGGAACACATTCCCTCCTGCTCCTTCATTCAGCTGACAACTGCTCATCATTTGGGTGTCAGTTTAGAGCCCCTTTCCTCTAGACGGTCTTTAGTGTCTCACCGAATCTGGAATGAACCTCCCTCCTTTGTCTTCCCACAACACCCTCGTCTTCCCTTCTCATCCAACAGCCTCACCGTGGTATAAGCAGATGCCATCTCCTTAATTCTGTAGTCTGCTTGAAGGCAGACACTGTGTCTCATTTACTAGTGCACTCCTGTGGCCTTGCATTGTACCTGGCACATAGTAGGCACTCGGTGAATATTTGTTGAATAAATGAATGAATGAATGAAGAAGTGGTGAATCAGAGAATTTATATAACTTGCTCAAAGTCACAAGACTAGTCACGGGCAAAGACTACATTGAAGCCCTGGTTTGTCTGGCTTCAATGTTATTGCCCTTTCAAGCCCACCACTTGCCTCTCTAAAGAAAATCAGACTCAAGGTTGAAAGGTGTCTTAGGGTTGATCAAGGCTTGCAACTTTCTCTAGTGGTTCATCTACAAAACTGCAGAAAATTTTTAATGCAAAATGGAGGGAGAGGTAAGGCATCCCGGACCAACTGCTAAACAGGAAATACATGATTTCAAAAATAACACAGATGGCAACTTGATCAACAGCCGTGAAATACCATAAAATTTAACCACCAGTAAACAGTAATCATAACACATCTCCCTTAAAAATATGGGGAGCTTCACCATTTTTAAAGCACATTCTAAATCAGGGGTTAGCAAACTATGACTCATGGGCCAAATCTGGCCCCACACTCCCTGTTTTCTGTGTGGCTGGGAGCTAAGAATGCTTTTTACATTTTTTAATGGTGGGGAGGGAAGAAGAGTAATATTTTGTGACACATGAAAATTATATAAAATGCAAATTTCAGTGTCCATAAACAAAGTTTTATTGGAACACAGCTGCACTCATCCTTATACATATTCTCCTACGTATGGTTGTTTTTGAGCTACAGTGACAAAGTTTAGTCGTTGTGACAGAGACCATAAGGCCCGCAAAGCTGAAAATATTTACTATCTGGCCTTTTACAGAAGAGTTTGTTAACTCCTGTTCTAAATAGCTATTCTTTAAATCTTTTTTTTTCCCCCAACACTTTGAGGCAGGCAAGACAAGGACTGTTGAGCTCACGTGTCAGAAAAAGAAACAGAAGGCTTGAGAGAAGAGATGACTCATGGATTTCCACCTGGCTGCCTCCAACAGACTCTTCACTGTTCTCCGGCTCTGCAGACTTCTCCCTGGCTCAGTCCCGCTTCGCCTATCCATCTTCTAAACTACCACCAGGGTGTCCTTCCCGCAAAAGGCAGTCTGCTTAAGCACCTTGGAGAGCTCCACTATCTCAGGACAAAGTCTATATATGTATACACACATGTGCGCGCACACAAACACACACACACACATGCACATACACACACATGCACGCACCCTGGGGCTGCACAGAGCCCTGGGTGCCCTGGCCCTGCTTGCCGTTTCAGCTTCATCTCTGGCCACTCCAAACGTTGATCCCACTGGCCTGCTGGCCGTCATTCCTTTGCCTTGGCCCATTCAAGTTCAGCAGCATGTGCTCTTTTTATTTATTTATTTATTTATTTACTTATTTATTTATTTATTTCGGCATTTGCTTTCAGTGATTTGCATATCTATCCCCTTGGCTTAGAAGACCTTTCTTCCTTACTCTCGAATCTCGTTCAACACAATTGTCACTGTTCTTTCAAAACTTGTCTCAGTGGCCATGCACTCTGAGAAAGCAGACCCTAAGTTGATTTATGTTTCCCTTCTCTGCACTACAGTGGCATCCTGAATTTACCTTCGTCACTTCCCTTATTGTACTATGTTAATATATTTATTAGTTGGTGCTCCCACAAGCTCCTATTTGCGGAGTGCTTATACTAAGCCAGGCATTACACTAAGCATTTTGGATATATCAGCTCATTAAATTCTTACATCAGCCTTGTGAAGTAAATGGTGATACTGTCATTGGCTTATAGATGAGGAAACTGAGGCACAGAATAGTTGAGTACATTTTCCCACCTAGAATCGAAGGCTGTCCAAATCTAAAGATGAAGTTCTTAATTTCTAGGGAACATGGGGCCACATATCAATACCAAGTTGCACTTAATAACTGTATTGAAAATGAAATGAACACATGAAACTTTGGTTCGGTATTATTCACTCACTAGCTGTGTCCCTTGGAAAATTACAAGCATTTCTAAATTTCAGTTTCTCTACCTATAAAGTGGGGGTACTAGTAAGTATCTCATGAAGTTATTTTAAGGATCGAATGAAAACCAGTTAAAACCTTAGTTCTGTTGGCAGGCCCATGGAGGGGCATCCCCACTCCACCCTCCAGGGCTACACCCCATGCTCTGCTTAGCAGTGATGCTTAGCAGTTACCAGGGGCGGGAACAGAGGACAGCTGGACAGGTGCAGGGATGGGAGAGATTTTTGTAGTGCGTGGAGCAGCAGAAGATAAAGAGATGGATCACGGGTCTCAGCAGCACACAAAGGGAAGCAGAACTAGACAAATATCTTACTTTTGTCTATTTATCATGCTAGAGATGACTAGTGTCTACCAGTGTCTGGTCCATCTCTGCTTCTTAAGCACACAAAAGAGTCCCAACTTGCAGTCAGGCTGTCACATGACTGGTCCTCATCAAAGCCAGGCTAGTGGAAGAGGCCTGAGTCATTTCCAAGTGAGATATTTAAGACCCAAGCATGGGTCCCCTCCATGCTTTCTCTTCCCCTGCTGAAGGGTCCTTTGAGGCCACATGTATTCTATAGAGATGGCTTAGCAACAAATAAGCCTTTGTGATACCAAGCTACTGAGATTTGGGTATTAATTTGTTGTTGCAGCAAAGCCTAGTCTATCCTGACTAATCAGCCAGAGAAGAGGTGGAGGTCTCTTGCTTTCTCCTATATTACCTGGTCCCCCTGCCATATCACTTTTTTACTGGAGGATTTTTTTTTTTTTTTTACTGGAGGGGACCCTCTCTCTTCATAGTTTCAGGGCCTATTCAGTGAATTTTTGTGTATCTGTCAGTCATTAGTGAAAACACTGAGACCATGCAAAGAAGAAGGGGCTCAGAATGCTGAGTGCCTGATGTCCTTTCAGACTATTTTTCCTTCTAAGGCAATGAATGCTGAGTGCAGAGAGATGCCACTGGGCTACAGATGGCCCTGGGGCAGACAACCCTGATGACAAACTAATTTCTTGGTTTATTAGCTTCAATATGTTGTGGAAATGAAGATAGTGGAGGGTTCCCTGAGCATCCTCCCCTTCTGCTCCAGATTTCAGGACCTAGCTTGGACACCCCTGGAGACAGTACAAAGACCATCACACCCTAAAACTTCTATTATCAGTCATCACTGGAAAAGAGATATGGGACGGGGTTAACAAGTAGGAAATGGGGATCCCATCAGTGGGCCATAGCATCTCATCAAGTCTATGCTATTAATGAGATTCAAAGTGGTGCCATGGAGTCAGACCTGAGTTGCAATTCTGAGGGGCCTTGAGCTCTTTGTTTAACGCTTTTGAGCCTATTTGCCCTCATTTCTTGAGTAATCATGATGACCACTATTTGTTTAGTGTGTAATATGTGCCAGGCTTTACTTGTATCATATAGTTGTCACCTCATGTCAGTACACACAGACCTGTGACTGGCATACAATAGGTGGTTAATTTTTGCAAGCTCTTTCTCCCCTCATTCAAACACAATATTGAGATCTCATCAATGGGGTTCAAAACCTCCAATGCAGCTTTAATCTCTTTATTTCTAACTCTTGTTTCCAGCCTACCCTAAATGCTCCCCTTTCCTGACTCCTGATTTTACAATGCTTCCTTTTCCTTTTATGAGATGCGCCTTCTTTGAAATAACAGATCTGAACTAAGGTCAACTCAGGTGTCTCAGGTCTTGAGTAGATAATTATTATTTCTCTAGTTGAGAGGGATGCATTGGGACTCCCCAGGTATGTGCTTGAAAGATGAGAGTGGGTCTTCACTTTTGTTTTTTTTTTGGTCTCTGTCACACCAACTTTTGTTTTCCTGAGTACGGTATGGAGAACGGAGGGGTGTGTGTGTATACGTGGGAGAAAT